GTGTGTTAGATCGTCTTTCTTCACTGGGAAGAACTATAAAGAATGTGAGATGCTTACATTTATTTTCACAAGCAATTATTTGCTTGTTAAATAGCAAGGGTGTGAGCCCCGACAATATCTGAGCGAAGAATATTTGAAGCAGATAGAAGAGCTAGAGCAGAGGCAACTGTGTGACTGTGAGTCTAAGGGACGGTTTTCACTCCAGAATGAAAACTGTAGAGCTGTCTGGCTTTGTTAATTTGCTCACGTCAAGATGTATTTTCCCTGGGCAATACCATTCTGCTAGTGCTGCCATGAGTCACCAGTCACAAGATTCCAAACAGTTCCTACCCTGTGAGCTCCTCGAGGACAAGGCTGGGATTTACTCTTTTATTTCCAGATCTAGGCACACAGGTGAATGCAAGACAAAGAGGCTTGTTGTGAGGGCAGTTCATGACCATTTATAATTAATATGCTAGGTTTAAACACTGCTTCCACAGAGCTCCAAAAATGTGACAGAAATGGAAGTCGAAAGTTTATTTCCTGGCTATATTTGCCTTTTCAGGAGGTAATCTGGTATCAGCCATTTCTCTTTTATGTAAATTTTGTAGGAGTCCAATGAATAAATATATGTGAAAGAACTTGGGTTCTATTGTATATCGAAAGTTTTTAAACCTGTTTTTAAACTCTCAGAGAGTAGCAGCCTTTGACCATTCTTATGATGTGAGTTAATACTTCCCAGAGTAGTAGTCTACGCTTTTCAACAACAGAGTTTGTGAAATTTCTTACATACCCCGTCTCCTTGTCCATCTGGGGTTGTAAGGTAAAATTTTGATGGCTTATATGCATGACGTGTACTTGAAGCAAATCTTAAATTCTTAAATTCTCAGAGCCTCAATTTCTTTATTGTTAAATAAGAGTACTATCTCTTTTAATATAAAGATATTATCGGTAATATAAACATATTTCTAATATTTGAACGTGATGATCTACATGAAACAATTTTGTAAACCTTAAAGCACTACATAAACATTTATTTAAATTAAAACAATCATTAATTACTTTAATAGTATATCTTAATATATAATATCTAACCCTGCCCAAAGAGAAAGGAATATTTTACCTTTTCAGGTTTTTTTGACACACAGGGATTACACACACACACACACACACACACGCCTGAATGTCTAGTAGAATTTTTGGTCCACATAACTGCAGCATGTATCAGGATGACTACTTTAAAAGCTGCTAGAGAAAGCTGGATTCTTTGCTATCAGCCCAAAAATCCATGCTAAGTTCTTTTGCCAAATGACATTTGCTGTGGTTTGAATGTCTCCACCAAAACTCATGTTAGGAGGTATTAGGTCACGAGGGATCTACCTTCAGATAGATTAATGTAATTATCATGAGAGTGGGTAGTTATAGCAGGGGTGAGCTCTTGATAATAAAAATATAAGTTTGGCAGAATTCTCTGTTCATTTCTAGTGCTTGCTTCCATCTTTTGTCTTTATACCATGGGATGACCCTTGCCAGATGTCAATGCTCTTGGAATTCCCACTTCCAGAATCATGAGCCACACTTTTTCTCTTTTTAATAAGTTATACAGTCTGTGACATTCTGTTATAATAGCAGAAAACAGATTAACATAGAAAATTGATACTGAGAAGTAGAACTATTACTATTTTTTAAATATCTGAAAATGTGGAAGTAGTATTGGAACTGGGTAGTGGACAGAGGCTGGGAGAATTTAGAGAAGCAGGCTACAAAATGTCTGTATCGTCCGGAATGAAGCATTAAGGGTGATTCTGGTGAGTGCTCAGAAGAAGGCAGCCGTAGGAAATGTCGGAATCTTCTTTGAGATTACTTAAATGGTCATGACCAGAAAGTTGGTAGAAATATGGACAGTAAAGACCGTTTCGATGAAATCTCAGACAAAAATGAAGAACCAGGGATTGGAAACTAGAGGAGAGATCATCCTTATTATACAGTAGCAAAGACCTTGGCTGCATTGTGTCCATGTCCTAGGACTTTATGGAAGGAAGAACTTAAGAACAGTGCACTAGAAATTAGTGGAAGAAATACCTAGTCAGCAAAAGTTGAAGTTGATGCATAGCTACTACCTTTAACTTCATACAGTGAGATGTGAAAGGAGAGGAATGACCTAAAATTGGAATTTATAATTAAAAGACAAACTGAACAGGCCACCTTTTGTTAGAGGTTAATGTGGATAGCAAGGTACCGTTCAGCAGGAAAATAGGAGAAAGACCCTGAAGGCATTTGAAAGACCCTTGAGGCTGCCCCTGCTGTCCCAGCCCCAGAGTTCTAGGATTTTAGACTGGTTTTGGGTGCCAGACCCTGCCTGGTTGCTCTCCATGGACTTACTGCCCAGGGCTGCCTTGGGACTTGGCTACCTACGTTCTGGCGCGGCACTCTTCAGCCACCCCAACTATGGCTTAAGTGGTCCCAGGTGCAGCTTAACTCACTGTTTCACAAGATACAGGTGGTAAGCTTGGTGAAATTCATATGGTGTTAAGTCTGCAGTCACAGAATACAACAGCTCTGGCAGCATGGCTTCATCCATCTTGATTTCAAAAGACGATGCTTACTTCTTTGGGGCACAGGCAGAGACTTTGCACAGGGGCAGAACCACCACAGAGAGCCCCCAACAGGGCAGTGCCTAGTGAAGCCAAGGAAACGGGGTTGCCAATGAAACCCTAGAATTATAGTTAACAATGTACAACTGCAGTCTGGAAAATCTTAAGGCCTGAGATTCCAACCCATAAGAGCTGAAGCATAGGCTGAGCCTAGGAAAGCTATGGGAGCTGAGCTGCCTGAGGCTTTGGGGTCCAACCCCAACCCAGTGTTCCCAGGATGGAGAATATGGAATGAAAGGAAATTATTCTTCAGCTTTAAGATTTAATATTATTCTTCCTGTTGGGTTTTGGACTTGCTTCAAATTAGTTATCCATCTTTTCTTGCCTATTTCCCCATTTTAGAATGGGAATGTCTATTCTATGCCTTCGCACATTGTATTTTGGAAGCAGATACCTCATTTGGATTTCTCAGGCTTGTGGTTGCAGAATATTTGCCTTCAGGATGAAGTCTCACCCATATTTGATTTAGATAAGACTCTGGATTTTGAGTTAATACTAGAGTGACTTTTAAGCCTACTAGGATGGAATGAATATATTTTGCATTGTATGAAGGACATGAATTTGGCAGAGAGGGGAGGGGAGAGGCAGAATGCTATGGTTTGAATGTCTCACCAAAATTCATGTTGACATTTAATTGTGATTGTAACCATGTTAAGAAATGGGATATTTAACAGGTAATTAGGCACCTCTTAGGCTCTTTCATTAGACAGAGCCCTCATGAATGAATTAATGCAGCTATAGAAGAAGTAAACTGGTTATTGCAAGAGTGGGCTCCTTATAGGTGATTTGGGCTCAATTTTCTCTCTGTCTTGTGTGACCCTTAGCAGAGATCAGTGCCATGTTCATGTACTTCCCAGTCTCCACTGAGTCAAATGAACTTGTTTCCTTTATAAATTAAGTCTTTGGTATACTCTAGCAGCAGAAAATGGATTCAGGCAACAAAGAGAGCTATAAAATTCTTCTTTTCAGCTCCACTGGCTTTCATTATCATTATTTGGTTAGATGCTTTTGAGGACATTTTCTGTTGCATTCTTCCATGTTTGGCAACCACACTCTATTGTGGAGTATTCTGGCTAAGCACTTAGTCTTCTTTCACTTACACCAGCAGAATGTAGTTGAGCCGGGGAGTGAAAATCCACTGTGACATTGCAAAGACTCACTGCTGTAAAAGGCCAGGAGTGAAATTCTCATTGTTTATAAATGTAGCTTCATAAGTCCAAATCAAAAATTATATCACCCTCAACATTACTCAATCCCAAGTCAATATTACTGCTTTTGAAAAATGTGGATTTGGGGATACCACAACTAAAAGGGATGTAGGAAATTTAAGAGGCTTTGGATGAAATGATGAACGTAACTCTAAACTTTTATTAAAAAAAAAAAAAACTGAAGTGTTGAGATAATATAGAAAAGGGGAATAATTAGAAAGTGAGAATAAAAAGGAAGGTTTGATTTAAATAAACCAATCAACTAGTGATTTAGATCATATGTAACAGGAAGATTAGATCTGATATGTTCTTGTGGACAAAAAGGTATTCCTATTGAATATACTTTTATATCTTGCTGAATACCTAAATAAGTGTTAGTTTGTTCTTTTTATGAGTTATACATAATATATTTTGAAGCAGCCATTTTCATATTTTAGAAACATCTGATAAATGTAATAATTTAATTCTTTGAGTTTATGGAACTTAATTCAGTGAATATTTATGTCATAGCTTGTGGCAGATTTTGATTTTTTGTGGAAGAGGTCAACACATACATACTATTTTAAAAGGCAGCAAAAATAATTGTGTTTTTGTATTTTTTGGTTATAAATTGCTTTTGATTTCATGGATTTCAATTTAGGAATGTTTAATCTTCACATTTTTCACTTCATTTGAGTGAGAAAAATAAAATTTTCTTGGTTATGAAATTCTCAAGTGATTAGCAATGATTTCTTTAAAAGACTGAAGATGCATATTCAGTGGTGGTAGAAATGGTAGAAATGGCTACTGCTGTTGTAAACTAGATTAACAATCAGTGCTTCTACAAATAAGTATTCGTTTTTACTTTTTACTACTATGACTCTGCAACTTTTCAATTCAGAGACATAATAAAATAGAAAAGTTTTGCAAAGGCTTTGTAATCAGACAAACCTGGTCTCAAATCCTGGCTATCATGTACTTGCTATGGGCCTGGAGCAGCTTACCCAAATGCTACTAACCTACCTCTATAGGATTATTGTAAAGATTAAATGTGATACATCTGTTCAGTAACTAATAGAGTGCCTATTAAAAGGTAGATGTTCCATAAATATTAATTCCCTTCTTTTATTTTTCTCACTAGTCCGCTTGTGTTTTTAATGGATCATCATTTACCCTGGAGTGTATTGTAGGAGGCATCGTGGATGGATGGGTGTTGGAAACCCCTTACCATAGCCAGCTCTTCTTCAATACTTACAGATTTACCGTGGTTTTGAGTAATGAGAATTTCGGTAAGAAAAAAATAAATTAAAATAGCATATGGAATTTCCCTAAAAGGTTGTTTGCATCTCACATTCTTTGCAATAAGTTACAGGGTTATTCTCTAAAGATCTTGGGATATCATAGATGTCTGTACACATTTGGATTGTTCTTATTTTGAAAATAAAACAGGTTTTTAAAAACTGTTTGATGATCTTGATAGGCGCTTCTTATCATTATAAATGTGTTATTTCACTTATCCCACTCTTTTGTGTTCTCTAAATGTCTTTGTACCCACTAAATTGTGTAGTCTTAGAGGGCAGGGTCTGGGTATCATTCATTTTTTCAGTGTAAACTAAAAGAAGCATGAACGCTTAGTGGTTAAGGTGGCAGTTAACACTGCTTTCTGAAACTATAAAAACTTTGACAACACAAAAGATGCAGGTAAAAGTATAAAACTCTGGTAAGTTCTAGCATAAATGATTTTCTTAAATCACCAAGAAAAAATATTATATATAGTCACTCTCAAGATAGAATGGAGTATCTGTAGTTGGTTATATTTTATCCAATTTTTTTGCCAAATAAAAATAATTCATTTTCATATATTTACATTAAGTTAATATAACTAGTGCATCTCTGTTAGTAATGCCTGTTACTAACCTGTGCTGTATACAATATTATGTCCCATTAAAAAAGAGAGAAGGATGAGGAGGAGGTCAAAGATAATATAAAAACATTAAGCAGTGACATTGGCATATATATAAATGAACAAATATGTCAACTTTGTTAAATTATCTTTGACATGCATCTGCAGAAATATCTGTTAAAGAATTTTGTGCATAAGGGACAGAGCTGGAGGTAGGAGAGAAAGCAAAAAAAGATAAATTCTAGTTTTGTTATTTTTGATAAGGAGGATTAATTTTGTATGACAAACATACATCTTTAGACCTAAACATATGTTGACATGTTATTTTAAACCTCACTTTTTAACTAAAAACTTTAACCATTTGTTTATGATTATGTTTTTCAGAAACCACATTTGAGAAGTATTTCCATTCAGTGCTACTTGTGTTTACTTCTAAACAGTCATTTTCTAACTGAGGCTGGCATTCATGTCTTCATTTTGGGGTAATTTTATCTTTAGGCATAAATAATATGTTCATGATCAGGACGATTGTCCTTGGATATCTTACTCATTAAGTTAGTTTATGTTCAGTTTGCTTATATCTCTAGGTACTCAGTATCTGGGAGATAGAAGGCAGACTGTAGATATTCAGAGGAAGTTTAGTAAACACCTAACTGAGCATTTCTATGTTGTTGTAATTGTCCAAAAGAGCATTATAGCCCTCAGATCAATTGGGCCTTGTGTTGTTTAACTGAATGTGGAAGTAAATCACTCACTGATAGACTACATGTTTTCTATGGTAATTAATAGTAGATAATTACAATTTGCTTATGTTACATTTTTATCTGTCCCTGACACTGACTCCTCCTATCCCTTGATCCTTATCCTAGTTCAGTTTAAAACATTCCTTTCGTTTTTTTCCTTCTAATAAAATTCATATGTTTCCATGATTATTAACTTTTTTCTTCTCTCTTAGATGCAGCTAATATACCCAGTTGGCCCAAAGCACCTAACCTATAGTTATATAATCTGACTCTCAGTTCAGTTTTACTCTACTAATGCCTTCATGGTATTGGGAACCATAGATTTGTGCAGGTAATTCTTCATCATAAGACAGATTAGTCTGACTATCATGCTTCTGTGTAAGGTCTATCAGGAAGTGAGTGATTATTTTTCCTCAAGTTCTAAGTATCATTCCAATGTTACTTGGTCAGAGTAAGTGTATTTTGCCTGGATATAAATTTTATTTATTTATTTATTTATTTAAATATATATTTTATTGCACTTTAGGTTCTGAGGTACATGTGCAGAACATGCAAGACTGTTGCATAGGTACATACATGGCAATGTGTTTTGCTGCTGCCATCCCTCCGTCACCTATATCTAGCATTTCTCCCTATTTTATCCCTCCCCAAACTCCCCACCCCCAGCTGTACCTTCCCTTGTCTCCCCACAATTGACCCCAGTGTGTGATGCTGCCATTCCTGTGTCCATGTGTTCTCATTGTTCAATGCCCACCTATGAGTGAGAACATGTGATATTTGATTTTCTGTTCTTGTGTCAGTTTGCTGAGAATGGTGGTTTCCAGATTCATCTATGTCCCTACAAAGGACACAAACTCATCATTTTTTATGGCTGAATACTATCCCATGGTGTGTATGTACCACATTTTCCTTGTCCAGTCTATCATTGATAGGTATTTAGGTTGGTACCAGGTCTTTGCTATTGTAAACAGTGCTGTGATGAACATACATGTGCATGGGTCTTTATAATGAAACGATTTATAATCCTTTGGATACATACCCAGTAATGGGATTGCTGGGTCAAATGGAATTTCTATTTATAGGTCCTTGAGGAATCGCCACACTGTCTTCCACAATGGTTGAACTAATTTACACACCCGCAAACAGTGTAAAAGTGTTCCTATTTCTCCACAACCTCTCCAGCATCTATTGTCTCCAGATTTTTTAATGATTGACATTCTAAGTGGCATGAGATGGTATCTCAATGTGGTTTTGATTTGCATTTCTCTAATGACCAGTGATGATGAGAATTTTTTCATATGTTTATTGGCCTCATAAATGTCTTCTTTTGAAAAGTGTCTGTTTATGTCCTTCTCCCACTTTTGAATGGGTTTGTTTCTTTTTGTAAATCTGTTTTAGTTCTTTGTACAGATTCTGGATATTAGCCCTTTGTGAGATGAGCAGATTGCAAATTTTTTTCCCATTCTGTTGATTGCCAGTTCACTCTAATGATTGTTTCTTTGGCTGTGCAGAAGCTCTGGAGTTTAATTAGATCCCATTTGTCTATTTTGGCTTTTGTTGCCAGTGCTTTTGGTATTTTAGTCATGAAGTTCTTGCCTATGCCTATGTCCTTAATGGTTTTGCCTAGGTTTTCTTCTAGAGTTTTTATGGTATTAGGTCTTATGTTTAAGTCTTTAATTGATCTGGAATTAATTTTAGTGTAAGGTGTCAGGAAGGGGTCCAGTTTCTGCTTTCTGCACATGACTAGCTAGTTTTCCCCACACTATTTATTAAACAGGGAATCCTTTCCCCATTGCTTATTTTTGTCAGGTTGGTAAAAGATCAGATGGTTGTAGATGTGCGGCATTGCTATGAGGCCTCTGATCTGTTCCATTGTTCTATTATCTCTGTTTTGGTACCAGTACCATGCTGTTTTGATTACTGTAGCCTTGTAATATAGTTTGATGTCATGTAGCATGATGCCTCCAGCTTTGTTCTTTTTGCTTAGAATTGTCTTGGCGAGGCAGGCTCTCTTTTGGTTCCATATGAAGTTTAAGGTGGTTTTTTTTCCAGTTCTGTGAAGAACGTCATAGGTAGCTTGATGGGGATAACATTGACTCTATAAATTACTTTGGGCAGTATGACCATTTTCACAATACTGATTCTTTCTAACTATGAAAACAGAATGTTTTTCCATCTGTTTGTGTTCTCTCTTACTTCCTTGAGCAGTGGTTTGTAGTTCTCCTTGAAGAGGTCCTTCACATCCTTTGTTAGTTGTATTCCTAGATATTTTATTCTCTTTATAGCAATTGTGAATGGCAGTTCATTCTTGATTTGGCTCTCTTTAAGTCTATTATTGGTGTGCAGGAATGCTTGTGATTTCTGCACATTAATTTTGTATCCTGAGACTTTGCTGAAGTTACTTATCGGTTTACAGAGATTTTGGGCTGAGGTGATGGAGTCTTCTAAATATACAATCATGTTATCTGCAGATAGAAACAATTTGACTTCCTCCTTTCTTAATTGAATACCTTTTATTTCCTTTTCTTGCCTGACTGCTCTGGCTAGAACTTCCAATACTATATTGAATACGAGTGGTGAGAGAGGACATCCTTGTTTAGTGCCAGATTTGAAAGAGAATGCTTCCACTTTTTGCCCACTCAGTATGATATTTGCTGTGGGTTTTCTGTAAATAACTTTTATTATGTTGAGAAACATTCTGTGAATACTTAGTTTATTGAGAGCTTTTAGCATAAAGAAAGGTCTGTTGAATTTTGTCAAAGGCCTTCTCTGCCTCTATTGAGAAAATCATGTGATTTTTGTCTTTGGGTCTGTTTATGTGGTGGATTAAGTTTATAGACTTGCATATGTTGAACCAGCCTTGCATCTCTGGGATGAAGCTTACTTGATCATGATGCATAAGCTTTTTGATGTGCTGTTGCAGTCAGTTTATCAGTATTTTATTGAAGATTTTTGCGTCTATGTTCATCATGGATTTTGGCCTTTTTTTGTTGAGTCTCTGCCAGGTTTTGGTATCAGGATAATGTTAGGCTCATAAAATGATTTAGGAAGGATTCCTTCTTTTTGGATTGTTTGAAATAGTTTCAGAAGGAGTGGTACCAGCTGCTCTTTGTATGTCTGGTAGGATTCGGCTGTGAACCCATCTGGACCTAGGCTTTTTTTGGTTGGTAGGCTCTTAATTGCTGCCTCAACTTCAGACCTTGTTATTAGTCTATTCAGGGTTTCAGCTTCTTTCTGGTTTAGGCTTGGGTGGGTTCAAGTGTCCAGGACTTTATCCATTTCTTCTATGTCTACTGGTTTATGTGCATAGAGTTGCTTGTAATAATTTCTGATGTTGGTTTGTATTTCCGTGGAATCAGTGGTGATATCTCCTTTATCATTTTTTATTGCATCTATTTGATTCTTCTCTCTTTTCTTTTTTATTAATCTGGCTTGTAGTCTGTCTATTTTGTTGATCTTTTAAAAAAAAACCAGTTCCTGGATTTATTGTGTGTGTGTGTTTTTTTTTTTTTTTTTGAAGGGTTTTTGTGTCTCTGTCTCCTTCAGTTCTGCTCTGACCTTAGATATTTCTTGTCTTCTTCTAGCTTTTGAGTTTTATTTATTTTATTATTATTATTATTATTTTTTGATCTTGCTCTTCTAGCTCTTTCAATTTTGATGATAGGGTGTCAATTTTAGATATTTCCTGATTTCTCGTGTGGGCATTTATTGATATAAATTTCCCTTTAAACACTGCTTTAAGTGTGTCCCATAGATTCTGGTACGTTGTGTCTTTGTTCTCATTGGTTTCGAAGAATATCTTTATTTCTGCCTTCATTTCACTGTTTATCCAGTCAACATTCAAGAGCCAGTTGTTCGGTTTCCATGAAGTTGTGTGGTTCTGAGTTAGTTTCTTAATGAAAATGACTAAGTGTATGATCAGCCTACACTGGGCTGATTCTGTATTGTTTACGGAGAAAGCTACTGCAAGCATAATAAGAGTGTGAGCAACATGAAAGGGGCATGTTTAATATATTGCAAAAAAAATAATTTACTGTCAAAATCATTACATGAAAATAATGATTACCTATTTTAAGAATTTTACCTAATTATTAGACTTAAAAGTCTGATAAAATCTCTACCTAAAGGAAACTAGTAATTCATTCAAATGCCCACCAACAATAGACTGGACTGAAAAAAATGTGGCACATATAAGCCATGGAATACTCTGCAGCCATAAAATGTGATGAATTTGTGTCCTTTGTAGGGCATGGATGAATCTGGAAACCATCATTCTCAACAAACTAACACAAGAACAGAAAATCAAACACTGCATGTTCTCACTCATAGGCAGGTGTTGAACAACGAGAACACATGGACACAGGGAGGGGAGCATCACACACTGGGGTTAATTGTGGGGAGACAAGGGGAGGGACAGCTGGGGGTGAGGAGTTTGGGGAGGGATTACGTGGGGAGAAATGCCAGATATAGGTGATGGGGGGATGGATGCAGCAAACCACATTGCCATGTGTGTACCTATGCAACAGACCTGCATGTTCTGCACATGTACCCCAGAACCTAAAGTACAATTTTAAAATATATACATATATATGTATGTATATGTATATATGCATATATGTATATATATGTGTGTATATATGTATATATGTGTGTGTGTGTGTTTATATATATATATATATATATATATATATATATATATAAAATAATCACTTATTGAGCATTGCCACACATTTGTCACTGTTTCTATGTCATTGTGGTAAATTGACCTAGTTTATTTTAAAGTATGCCTCCAATTAGGCTTTTTTTCTAATTCAGGTTTGTCAAGCCTCAAGTTACCATAAAATCTCAAAATTGTACTATATGCTCAGTGTGTATGTTCAGCTACAAGGCTGTTGAATGCACAGAGGCAAGGATAACAATGATTTTATTCACTGGTCAGAGTAAAAAATTATTGATTGCTCTTTTGCTTATAGTATTCATCAAGATGAATAAGCTCCTTCAATATACTTTGCTCTATGGTTATTCTTTCAGCTGTTTCAGTGTAGGGCTTCCTAAAACAGAAGCCAACTGGGTGGATGTAATAAGTGATTTGAGAAGAATTCAAGATCTTATTCAAGTGAGTACTCATTTTTTCCATAAAATAGCTGGTATAATCGCTATGGAGTATGTCTCTCTTTGTGTTTTTCTGTCAGTCTCAAGGAAACCACACTTGAAACAGTAATATTTTTGTAGAATTTATGATCTTATGAAGCATGAAAAGAATCTTTTTCCTTACTGTTTTAGAATCTAATTATCTTTAAAAACATAATTTATAAGAGACCCAGCCTAATAAGTTCTAGTCTGCACAAGTGAGGGATTCTCTTCCTCTTTCTGGAGAAATCAGACATCTTGGTGGCACCTGCAGGGGGAATGACTTGACTCAGGGAAGAGCTGTTGCTTGTATACTAAAAACCCTCTTCTACCTAGAGAAAACAGGTGACCCGACCTAAGGATGTGTTCTTACCATAGCAGGTAATACCAGCTTCAGTGGAAGTCTCAATGGCACCAAGCATACTAAAATAGCAGCACAAAGTTTTGAAAACTAAATTGTCATTGGAATCGCAGCATTATAAAGTAGGTTAGAACTTGCATGCTAAATTCAAACGGGCTGACTGCACATTAAAACAGAAGATTTAAATAGGACCAGAGTGTTCTAATATAATAGACACAAAGCCAAGATACAATTGAAAATTATCCATTGTATCAAGAAGTAGAAAAGTTACAATTTGAATGAGAAAATATAATCAACAGACTACAAAATTGAAATGGATCAGATGTTGGAATTGTCTGACATGGATTTGAAAGCAGACATTATAAAAAGTGCTTCAAAAAGCAATTACAAATGCCCTTGAAGTAAATGAAAAAAGAAATGCCTTAACAAAGAAATAGAAGATATGAAAGGAACCATGTAGAAATTATAGAACTGAAAATATAACTGATATACAAAACAAACTGTAAAGGCTCATTAACAGACTGAATAACAGAGGAATAACAGTTAATTTGACAACAGAACACTAGAGAGACAACTGACTTAAAAAAAATAAATAAAAAAGCATCAGTGATCTGGAGAACACTAACAAAAGATCCAGCATTCCTATGGTCAACATCGTAGAAGATTATGATAATACACCAAGTAAGAGAGAGAGATTGGCTAAGTTGACAACAAAACAAAACCCATTTATGCTATCTGTAAGCAGTTCACATCTAATATAATGACATATATAAGCTGAAATTTAAAAAAACAGATAAAGATATATACCATACTATAATGGGTTGAATAGTGCCCCCCAAATTCCACATCCACTTGAAACCTTAAGATGTGATCTTATTTTGAAATAATGTCTTTGCAAATATGATTAATGAAATTAAGATGAGATCATACTAGAGTGAGGTGGGGCCTAAATCCAATGACTAGTGCCTTTATTAGAAAAGGAAAGGACACAGAGGAACTCACTGGAAAGAAAGCCATGTGAAGACAGGGGAAGAGATCAGAGTGATGCAACTATAAGCCAAGGAAAGCCAGGGATTGACAGGATCCTTTATAACGTTGGGAAAGTCAAGAAAGTCTTCTTCTCTAGAGCCCTCAGAGAGAACGTGGCCCTACCAACACCTTGACTTCAGACTTCCAGTCTCCAAAACTCTAAATGAATAAATGTATGTTGTTTTAAACCACTCACTTTGTGGTAGTTTGTTACAGCAGCTCTAGACTGATATACATGCATACATTAATTTTAAAAAGCAGAAGTGGTTATATTAACATCAGATAAAGTAGACTTCACAGAAAATAAAGTTACTAGAATCAAGAAGGCCATTACATAATGATAAAAAATAAATCCGTGAGGAAAACATAAAGTTCTTAAATGTATACACATCAAACAACAAAGCCTCAAATTTTGTGAAGCAAAAAAATAATAGGACTAAAGGAGAAATAGACAAATCCACGATTATACTTGAGAACTTTACCATCTCCCCCTCAGTAACTAATAGAAATACTAGATGAAAAATCAGAAAGGGTATAAACATATAGCATAACCAACCAACAGGATTGAATTTAATACTTAGAGCAGTACACACAACAACAGCAGAACATACTTTTTTTTTTAATCAAGACTGAATATATACTGAGCCATAAATCAAACTTTAAAATGTTTTTCAAAACTTAAACCATGCAGAATTTGTTCTCAAACCAAAATGGAATCTAACAAGAAATCAAGAAATTAAATACAATGGACAAATTTCCAAATGCTTGGAAATTAAATACTATACCTCTGTATAATCCATGGGTCAAAGAATAAATCTCAAAACATATTCAAAATACATAGAATGAAAAAAATTAAATACAGCATATCAAGATATGTGCAATGCAGCTAAAGCAATACTAATAGGGACATTTTTAAAATCAAATGATTACATTAGAAAAAAAGGAGAATTATCAAATTAAAAATCTAAGTTACCACTTCAAGAAACTAGAAGAAGTAGAGCAAATTAAATTCAACACAAGCAGCACAAATAAAATGTTAAATATAAGAGCAGAAGTTAATGAAATTGAAATCAAGAATACAATAGAAAAAATAATGAAACATAAAACCAGTTATTTGAAAAACAAATGATATTTTTATATCCTTAATAAAGACTGACAAAAACAAAAAGAGAAAAGACACAAATCTAAGGAATAAAATTTGGGGCTATCAGTACAGAATCTGCAGTCATTCAAAGGATAATAAAAACTATGAGCAATTTTATGCTCACAGATCTGACAACTTAAAAGAAATGGACCAATTCTTCAGAAACCACAAACCACCAAAACATAATGAAGATAAAATAGACAATCTAAACACTCCTATAATTACTAAATACATTGAATTCATCATACACAGGCTCCCAAACAGGAATCCCCAAGCCTGCTGGTTACACTAAAACATTCTACCAAATATTTAGAGAAACATTAACAATTATAGTCTCTTCTAGAAAACAGAAGAGGAAGGAAAATTTTCCAGTTGGTTTTAGGAGGCCAGTATGACTCTGATGCTAAACCCAAATAAAGGCATTACAAAAAAGTACTACAAAAAATATCTCCCATTAACTTAGATATTAAAATCCTCAATAAAATATTAACAAATGAAATTCAACACTGTGTAAAAAGAATTATACACCATGACTGAGTGAGATTTATTTCAGGCATGCAAGTCTTGCTCAATTATTTGAAAATCAACCAGTGTAATCTACCATATCAACAGGCTAAAGAAGAAAATCATACGTAGAAAAGGTAACTGATAAAATGCCTCTTATGGGCTTAACCATGTCCCTCCCTATGCCCCTGGATTTAATGTTATGGTACTAATTGCCAGTATCTCCAAATGTGACTGTATTTTGAGGTAAGGTCAGTTAAAATGAGGTCATTAGGGCAGGTTCTAATCCAATATGACTGGTATCTTTAGAAAAACAGATAAGGGGCCAGGTGCGGTGGCTCAAGCCTGTAATCCCAGCACTTTGGGAGGCCGAGGCGGGTGGATCACGAGGTTGAGAGATCGAGACCATCCTGGTCAACATGGTGAAACCCCGTCTTTACTAAAAATACAAAAAATTAGCTGGGCATGGTGGCTCGTGCCTGTAATCCCAGCTACTCAGGAGGCTGAGGCAGGAGAATTGCCTGAACCCAGGAGGCGGAGGTTGCGGTGAGCCGAGATCGTGCCATTGCACTCCAGCCTGGGTAACAAGAGCGAAACTCCGTCTCAAAAAAAAAAAAAAAAAAAAAAAAAAAAAAAAAAAAGGGAAAAAAAAAAAAAAGAAAAACAGATAAAGGATATAGATACACAGAGATGGAAAACCACGTGAAGACACTGGGAGAAAATGGCCATCTGTAAGCCAAGGAGAGAGCACGCCAGAGAAACCAAACCTGCTGGTCCCCTGATTTCAGACCTCTAGCCTCCTGAATTGTGAGAAAATAAAGTTATATTATTTGTGTTACTCAGTCTGTGGTACTTCTTATGGCAGCCCTACCATACTGATATAATGCCTATTGAAGATAAAATTTCTTAGCAAAGTAGGTGTGGAGAACTGCCTCAAGTTGATTCAAAACATGTACAAAAAACCTAGAGCTACCATACTTAATGGTGAGTGCAAGACTGAATGCTTTCCTAGTAGGACTGGACACTAGACAAGGATGTCTTTTCTCACCACTTTCACTCACCATAATTGTCTTAGTATTTTTGTTGCTTATAACAGAATACCTGAAATGGGTAATTTATAGGAAAGGAATTTATGTCTTATGGTTATGAGACTGAAAAGTGCAAGGTTGAGGAGCCACATCTAGTGAGGGCCTTCCTGCTGATGGGGGCTCTTTGGAGTCGAGCGGTGACACAGAACATCACATGGTGAGGGGCTGAGTGTGATAATGTGCTAGCTCAGGTATCTCTTCCTCTTCTTATAAAACTACCAGTTCCCCTTCTTTGATAACCCATTGATAGTTTAATCCATGAGTGGACTAATCTGTTGAAAAGAGCAGAGCCCTTGTGATTTAATAGCCTTTTAAAGCCCCACATGTCGATACTGCCGCATTGGGGATTAAGTTTCAACATGAATTTTGGAGGGGACATTCAAACCATGAAAATAATATTGGAAGTTTGGCCAAATTATGAAACAGGAGAGAAAAAAGTATATGAGGAGAAAACAAAGAAATAAAAGGCATGCAGATTGGAAAGGAAAATTATACATCACCCCAAATTTTTTGGAGAGAAAGTACTACAAATGGGTATATTTTGTTTAAAAAATAATGCAAATTAAAACCACAATGACATATTATTACATGCAGCTATAAGCATGTACAAAATAAAAGGATAATGATGATGCTAAGTAAATATGAATACACAAGGGTGATAACGCTGGCAAGGATGTGGAGAATCGGGATCCTTTCTGCATTGCTGGCGATGATGTAAAATGATACAACCACTCTATAAAATAGTTTGGCAGAATCCTATAAAACAAAACATGATTTGCCATGCAATACACATATTGTACTCTTAGACATTCATCCTAGACAAATGAAAACTTTTGTGCACTCAAATATGTACATGAATGTTCATAGAGGTTTTTTCATAACTGCCAAAAACAAGAAACAAATTTGCTTCAGTTGGTAAAAACTGTGGTGTATCATGTCAGGGAACACAATAGAGCAGTAAAAAGATGCAAACTCGTGATACCCACAAGTTGGGTGGATCTCCAGGGTATTGATGCGTGAAAAAAGCCAATCTTCATAAACAAACTGTGATACATCCATAAAATAGAATATTATCCAGTGATAGAAAGAAATAAGCTATCAAGCCATGAAAAGAAATGGAGAAACCTTCAAAGCCATATTGTTAAGTGAAAGATGTGGACACTGATCTGAAAAAGCTTCAAACTATATGATCCCAACTATGACATTTTGAAAAAGGCTAAACTATGGAGACAATAAAAAGATCAGTGGTTGCCAGGGGTTCAGAGGGAGGGAGAGATGGCTAGGCAATGCACAGGTAACTTTTAGAGCAGTGAAAATATTAATATATAATGAGGGATGACATTATATGTGCAACACAAATAATGAGCCCTAATTATCTTATACACTTAAGACCATAGACTTCATAATAATGTACCAATAGTGACTCATCAATTACAACAAACACACCACACTAAGACAAGATATTAACAATAGGGGAAACTGGGGTTGAGGGCAAAGGGGTGTGTAAGTCTCTGTAGTTTCTGCTAGTTTTTCTGTAAACCTAAATAGCTCATAAGAACATCTATCAATTCTTTGAAAAGCTAATTTCAGAAGGTTACATACTATTCGAGTCCATTTACGTAATATTCTTGAAATGACAAAATTATAGGAATGGAGAACAGAGAAGTGGTTGCCAGAAGTTAGAGAGATTGGTGGGTGATGAGGTATGTATGGGGAGAAAGGTGAGTTTGGTTATGAACGAATAGCTGGAGAATCCTTGTGGTGATGGAACTATTTTGTATCTTAACTGTGGTGGTGGTGATGTGAATCTATGCAAGTGATAAAATTGCATAAAACTTCACACATATGCCTGCACACAAACCGTGGCACTTAAAACTTGTGAAATCTGAACAAGGTGAGTGCATTGTATTCACATCAATTTTTTTATTCTAATACTGTACTGTGGTTATGCAAGATATCACCACTGGGGGAAGCTTGTTGAAGGGTACACAAGATCTCTCTGTATTTACTCTTACAATTTCAGTAGGTTGTTCTCATTATATTTAAAGCAGGGAATAGTTTTTAATATTGTCTAATTTCGTTTCCTTTCAGTCTATACATATTGATGCTACTTTATATACGGAAAGTGATGTTCATGTGAGTATACTTTTTTTCAAAGTTGCTATTTGTCTAATTATCAAAGTTTTTTAAAGTATATTTTTGTAATAACTAAAATGTGTAGTTTTAAAATCTAACTTTTGGTGTGTTTCTATGATATATTATCAATGAGTTTTATTAGTGATTGTTGAGGTGGTACTTGAGAACAGAGAATTACGTAAATGCTATTTTTGTAATGATGCCAAATCAAAATATTTTAAGTCTTTTCTATCAATGTCAAACAAGATACATTATACGTTTTTGTGATGCAATTAGATGCAAAAATCAGGTTAACTGATTCAAGAATAGCTGACCTATCAGTTATTTACAGTGCTGGAATTTATCACTATCTGCAATCATATTTTCTATAAATTGCTTAAAGTCATCTATGTTCTGCATTTTACATGGTTATCTACATTTGTCAGAAAAAGATTCTGACTGATTACTCTCTTTGTGAGAAAAGAAACATAATCCATGAAACTTATCAGAATTCAAACGTGATCTTGACCTTGTCTTATTAATACAGTGACGTTCCCTAAGGCATGTAGGATTTGTCATGCTGGTAGTGGTCGTTCCTTTGGGATTGTTGCTTAAACCAGGAAATGAATCCCCAGCTTCACCTCAGGGAAAACAAACTCTATTTCCTCTCTCCACTATTCCTCAATTACAACTTCTCTTACATAGATGACTTTCTAAGCATTGGAAAGAAGCAACAGTCAGAAACTAGAAAAAAGTTATTCACCAACCGATTGGGTCATGCTGCTGCACAAAGAAACTGTCTCCCTCCTCTCACTTCCGCGTGTTTTCTGTTTTCCTTTGCATTTTTTTTTTTTTTGTAAAATAGAAAGTAGTCAATTAACCACCAAATTCAGCATCCTGAGATTGCTTTTTTGCAAGAAGATAACTTTGCAACCCATGGGTGATTCAAATTTAGATTTTAAAACGGACTCCACCACTTTTTCCTTGTGTTACCTTGGAAATTACTAAACATTTCTGAAGCTCAGTTTTATTATTGCTGATATAATGACAGTATTTGCCTTTCAACCCTAAGCAGTGGCTGTTGGGGTTGAGGAATATTTCAAGTGCTGAGCACATGGTTGTATTCCTTCATTTATTCATCCATTCAGTGAGCATTTGTGAAGTGCCTGCAGGCTCCCAGGCACTGTGCAAGGCATTGGGGACGCAAAGTCAAATAATGGTCAAATCCCCAGATATACCTTAAGTGTTTCCTTTCTTTTAAGTTCTTGTTAAAGTAAATCTTGTGGAAAATGTATTTTTGTGGTTCCTAAGAGATCCTTTTCTGATTTGGTCACCCTATGTGTGGACACCAGTCCTGCTTTGATTTTTCTAATAAATTTATTGGAATTACTTTTCTCCCTGCGGGAACTTTGGAACTTGATAGAATAGTGTAATTAGCAGCTACCACTATTTAAAATGTTAACAACACAATTTGTTTCTAAAGATTCTTGCAAATGCACTGTCTATATTGATGCTTTCAGAGTCTAAGGCCAGTATTATTACCCTTTCCACAGGGGAAATCTGCTCAGTGAGAAAAATTGGCCACAATTTCCACATTTTCTGGTTTCATATTGCCATCCTTCTTCATTGTGTCTTGGTTTGTTTTGGTTTTGATTTTAAAGCCAAAAGAAAAAAAAAAGTTGCCTCTAATGTAAAATTTCTTAAGGATATTGTATATCTTCATGAAATATTTGGATTGACTTTTTAAAAACCGAAATTACATCAGTGTGAAAATGAATAGTCAGAAAAAAATTAATTATTCTTTATAACTTTTATTTTTAGCCCAGGTGCAAAGTAACAGCAATGAAGTGCTTTCTCTTGGAGTTACAAGTTATTTCACTTGAGTCCAACAATACAAATATTAATGATACCATAGAAAATCTTCTCATCCTAGCAAACAGAAGTTTATCTTCTAATGGGGTGAGTTTTCCAATAGTTGCTTAGAGTTGCATCTTATATTTTGGGCCTGATTTGGTAAAGTCAGTCATGGACAAGAAGATCCCCCTAAGGGGCACTCAGGAGAAGGAGCTCTGTTTCAGTGGAGTGGCATCCAAAAGTGGCACCATCTCCAGCATGCACACAATGCTAAACTGTTCAATGATTTATTCAGTAGACAGACATTTACAGAATAATGCCAGGTAGTGTGCTTCAGTGCTAGAATTGTCACTGTGAGCCAGACAAACAGGTGATTGACCTCAAGGTGTTTATTTTCAGGTGCAGTGGATAGACATTAATCTCATTACATACTCAAGTGTCTAACATTGATAATCCTAACTTACATTTATTGGGTTATTACTGTGTGCCAGACACTATTCTTTGAGCTTTAAATTGATAATTCATTTAATCCTCATGACAAATCTGTGAGATAGTTATCTTTATTTTTATTTGAATGTTGAAGAAATTGTAGCACTGAGAGCTTGGATCACTCACTCCAGTTCATGTACCTAGCAAAATGGGGGGGGGGGTCACAATTCTTACCCAAGTAGTCTGTCTGCAGAGTCTGTAATCTCATGAGAAGATAAATGCTTTAAAAGGATAACAATGAAAATATTAACAATTCGAGTACAATCTGGGACATCCCAGGCAACTTGAGCAGTAGAGGGTTCCAGGAGAGCAAATTCAGGTACTCCTATAAAAGTCTGGGGAAGAGCTGTGCAAAGGCCCTGAAGTGCAAAGAATTATGGCTTTTGTGACAAAACACCAGTGGTCAAAGCAAGGTAGAGAGAATGCAGTTTTGCAACAAAGAAGGCATAATCAAATTAGTTCATTGCAAAAATACTTTTTAGCCCTCAAGAGACAGTATGAAAAAATACCCATAATCCCTGCTGTTAAAGAGGGAAGAAACAGAAGTAAACCAATCACTCAGCACATGAGTAATAAGTTAGTTAGTTATTAAGTCCAGTGATGAAAAAGGAGTCAGGGTAGGAGGACTAGGGTTCCAATTTAAGGTAGGCTCAACTAATAAGCTGCCATTTGACAAAGATGTGAGGAATGAGCCTTAAGGGTATCTAAGGACATATGTTCAGGCAGAGACAACTGAAAATGCAAAGACCGTGAGCTTGTGTGAGTGAACTCCATGACTTTTCTCTAAAAATACAAGGCTGCTTTAGGTCTTTGCTTCAGGGTCACCTTCTCAGTGATGTTACCTATTTACAGGTGCAATCTCTTCCCTATTTGAGCACTCCCTGGCCCTTTCTCTGCATGTCCCATATCTGGCACATGATATATTTTACCTAATGGGCATTGTCTGTTTTTCCCTACTAGAATGTCAGCTTAAAAGGGACAGGTGTCTTTGTTTTTTATTAGTACTGGATTCAAATTCCCAGAACAGTGTCTCAAATATTTTTAATACTTTATGTATTTATGAAATGAACTCATTAAGGTTTATAATACTCTTATGCTGTTATCTCCATCTTATTGATGGAGAGAGTGGGCCATGCAACAAATAATTCATGACAAAATAAATGATGAGCTCCTTAATATGAATGTTGATATTCACCCTCATCATGACAGAGCGTGACATACGTGCTGGAACCTGTGGGCAGGACTGCACAGTCAGAAGACGTGAATGTGAAGAATTTCAGTTGATTATGTCAGTTGAGATGAGTCAATATCTCTGTCTTCCTATCTGACATGATTATTTTCAGGATCAAATAGGACAGCATTTTATGAAATGTGACAGTGCTTGGCATAGAGGATGTGCTTGATAAATGTTGGTGATTCTGAATTCCAAATAGTTAATGGATATAAAATCTAGTTTTTATTTTTGATGGCACAGCCTTCATGGTTCAGATGACCTCTAAAAACGTTATTCTTAATTGCTGTATTTGGAGTATTCTAGTAACCATTTGTAGTATTCACCTAAATGGCTCAATTCCACCAGTGGGTGATTACAATGTGTCAGCCCTGTGTTAAATGTTAGGGAAACAAACATACTGTCTTTGCACTTCTGGTACACAGCTTAGGGAATAGTATTACAATATAAAAAGAGTAAAAGTTCACAATTTGAATAGAATACATGAGATGCTGTGAGCGAGGTCTGAACAAGGGGTTCTGAGATGTAAAGATGGGATGTTGAGTCCAGCCCTGGGAGCTCAGGACTTCAGAGAAGCCTCCCTAAAAGAATACCTGAGTAATCTTAAGTGCAAGTAGCAGCAGCTAAAATAGGAAAGAAGGTAACAGAGAGAAAAGCAAAGGCAGAGATACATCTAATAGCATGCTGTACCTGGCAAAGAAAGCCAGGCACTCACTCAGTATTCCTAGAGCATAACATTGAGGCATTGGGGATACGTGAAATAAATAGGTAAGGAGCAGTTCATGAAGAGCCTGTGTGCTATGCAGAGAGGCATGGACTTTATGCTAGAAGCAGATGCTAAGAAACCATTGATGGGCTTTAAGCAGGAAGCAGGAAGTTCATGGTCTGATAGACACAGCTTATTTTTCTCAATGCCCTTAACCCATTATTGGAAAAATAAACTCATATCAAATCTCCCCGTTCTTTTTTCTCATAGTTCTTCCTAATATACTATTAATTTGCTGACGTTTTCATATCTCAAGAACTTACCATATGGTTCAAACGGTATGATATTCCCATGAACATATATTTAATTTAATTATAAATTGCCAATTTAATCCTTTCTTTATATTTTACAGAATATTACAGAATCTGGATGCAAAGAATGTGAGGAATTGGAGGAAAAAAATATTAAAGAATTTTTGCAGAGTTTTGTACATATTGTACAAATGTTCATCTACACTTCTTGATTGCAACTGATTCTTTTTAAAGTGTCTGTTATTAACAAACATCACCCTGCTGCTTAGACATAACAAAACAGCATTTCAAATGTGCTAAAAACAAGATTTTTTTGTCAAGAAGATGATCGGATCTTGGATCAGATGAAGTCTTAGAAATGAAGGCATAAAAATGTCATTCAGTAATATATAGTAACTATGAACTTCTCTCAGATGTACTTTACTCATTTGTTTTTAATTTATTATTGAAATTGTACATATTTGTGGAATAATGTAAAAATGTTGAATAAAAATGTATACAGGTGTTGTCATTTGAAGTTGCACTGATATTTTTTCCTCTTATAGCAAAATAGAGAGCATTTGCTTAAGGGTGATAGTCGAATTATGTATTGGTGGGGCTGGGTGCCAATGCTGCAGGTCAATGGCTATGTTGTTGTGTTCCTGCCAGTGTGGCACCACTGACTGCCAGCTCTCATTGACTTTCTTACAAAGCAAAGCAACCAGAGGAAGAATTTGCTATCAATAAGCAAAAGAAGAACTATATGTGAACCCTCTTCTTTACACTGTAATTTAGGTATTGATATATAAAGCAACTGTTATGGAATAAATTGCAATGCCCAGCATATAATGTGCATCAGTAAATCTTGGTGGTGATTGGAATAATAAACTTCTACTGATGGGTAGAACGGTGTGCAAACTTGTCCAACCCACGGATTGCGGGCTGCATGCAACCAACACAATTTTGTAAACTTTCATAAATCTAATTTTTAGCTCCTCAGCTATCATTAGTGATAGTGTATTTAAAGTATGGCCCAAGACAATTCTTCTTCCAGTGTGGCTCAGGGAAATCAAAAGATTGTATAACCCTGATATCGAAAACTAATGGTGACAGTGTTTATATTTCATGCTTTCCCAAGTACAGGTATTTTATATTTTATTTTCACATTCTTTTTGCCATTTAATAGCGTAAAAAATTTTTGTTGATTTTTTGGAGCCATTGTTATCTGACAGAAAATAATTTTTTATATTTTTTCACTATGCTGTTTAAAATTAGCAAGATTTCTTCTAAAGGAACTGTCAGAAGATGAAATGTTTTTGTTTTATATAAATTTATTTCACCCTGATACACTTCTGGTAATACTCACTGAGTGACTGTGGGGTAGGAAATGATCTCTTAAGAATTCAATTTCTCTACATTCCACAGTATAAACTGGTTCTCTGTTGAAACATTCTTCTATCATCTTAGTGCCCTATCCATGTACATGTGTCTTATTGCTCTAGTCCAACTGTGTTTATAAATATCTTTCAAGACAGTTTTGGAGAAATCTATATCCTATCTGACTTTCAATGATCATGTATTGGCTCTCAGATTCTTACCTAATCTCAGTCCAGAAAAATAATATTTGGCAACCAGTCTTTAAAGTGTGTGGGTTGTGGATTGCGGCAATTTCGTTTTTTAATTTCAACTGAGATTGAATTTTTTAATGTACTTGTATTTTTGTTTTGTTTTATGTAGCTTTTCTATTAGGGAGAATAGGAAAAATGTACCATTTTCACCTCTAAGTTTCCAGTCCAGTCTTTAGAGGAATGTTAGTCTTCCTTTAGTGTTTGTTGAGACAGGGAAAGAAAAATCATAATATCAGTCATATTATAAATGATATTTTATAGTGGTCAATTGTTCATTTTGGTTATATAGGCACAGAAGTGGGCTTCAAACTTGGAATTTACCAGGGCTCAAAATTAGAATTCCTACATTAGTTGCTCAATATGGATCATTGCAATTGATCTTAGGAAATTCAAGGCATAGATCTGCAACTTCTTTAAAATACTGTTAGTTAACTGAAGAAACAAAATAATAGTTAACAATTTGTATTCTGTTTTTCATTCTTACACTGTTATCAAAATCAGTCTTCCCTTTGTGATTTAAAATCTGCCTGTTTTACACTGTTGGTGGGAATGTAAATTAATTCAACCACTGTGGAAGACAGTGTGGCGATTCCTCAAGGACCTAAAAATAGAAATCCCATTTGACCCAGCAATCCCATTACTGTGTATATATCCAAAGGATTATAAATCATTCTACTACAAGGACACGTGCACACGAATGTTCATTGCAGCACTGTTTACAATAGCAAAGACCTGGAACCAACCCAAATGCCCAACGATGATAGACTGGATAGGGAAAATGTGGTACATATACACCATGGAATATTATGCAGCCATCAAAAACGATGAGCTCACGTCCTTTATAGGGACATGGATGAACCTGGAAACCATCATTCTCAGCAAACTGACACAAGAGCAGAAAATCAAACACCGTATATTCTCGCTCATAGGCAGGTGTTGAACAATGAGAACACATGGACACAGGGAGGGGAGCACTACACACTGGGGTCTGTTGGGGGAAATGGGGGAGGGGCGGGGGGTGGGGAGGTGGGAAGAGATAGCATGGGGAGAAATGACAGATACAGGTGAGGGGACGGAAGGCAGCAAAGCACACTGCCATGTGTGTACCTATGCAACAATCTTGCATGTTCATCACATGTACCCCAAAACCTAAAATGCAATAAAAAAAGAAAAAATAAATAAATTAAAAAAAAAAAAATCTGCCTGTTTGAACCATCTTCCTTAATTAACCAACTCAACGTCATTTTCCTAGAGGATCCTTTACTGCCTTAAATGCTGAAAATACCTTCCATATAGTACATATAATAAAGAAAGCACAGACACATATACTTAGAAACTCAAATAGTAAAGATAACAATATAACATATAGTCCAAAGTCATATTGTTGAATTTTGTTTTTATCTTTTCTTAGTATCAGGAAAGAAAAAGATGCATGAGAGAATATTATCTCTACATTCTCCCTGGCAGTGAACAAAAAGGGCTAGAAGGCAGAGGACACAGAAATGTAAACAGAACCAATATATAATTGTTGAGCCCAGAGAATTTTAAAACCTAATCACAAAAGTAGTATTATATACTCTCATTTTTTTATCTTAGAAGAGAAAGTCATAGAATCTTTTTTTTTTTCTTTTGCTGCTGTTGTTGTAAAAGGGGATTACCTGTTTTGATGTGCTACTTTTTATGGCCATCAAATTCAATAACTCATAAGGTCAACCAACATATACAATATGAAAATCAAGAAGTGCTGTTGTTCCCTCCTTTCTCCCCCAACTTAACACAAAAATACTAGAGAATACATTTGAGTTCCTTCATCTGTGTTATGTCAGGCTTAGTGTAAGCTCTTTGCATTTCTTTATAAGCCATGATTAATGTATGTATGCCATATTTAAATATTTTACACCCTGGAAAATCTTATTTCCATAGAGATTTGGTTCAACGTTTCTGAATGTGTCTGATGACTGAATTGTGTCCTTAGTAAAGAATCAATTATCGAAGGTAAACTTTAGCTTCATTAAACAGTATGCTAATTGTAATTGTATAATATATCTGATGACACACAGAAGAAAAATCAATGAATTATTAATAAGGACTAATGATTTTATTCTATATTTTACTTCTTCAATCCTGTGCTTCCAAATGACAATTATAGGAATTGAAGAGGAAATTATTAGTCAAGCAGAATTGAAAATTCTATATGTAGTTTGTACAAAGGTGTCAACACTTTCAGAATATTGTCACCACAGAGAATCCAGGATCAACCAACAGGTTATCAGTCTTCATCACCATCATCACTGTTTTTTTGTCATTAACAAATTCTGTCCTTTAGTGGTATTGAAAGTGTCATTAAAAAAAAAAAAAAAAAAACTTTCAAAAAATTAGATATGGAAGGAATGCACCTCAACACAATAAACACCAAATATGACAAATCTACATTTAATATTATACTAAATGTTTTTCTCTAAGTCTAGAAATAAGAAATGGAATCCCAACCTGCCTCTTCTAGTCAACATAGCACTGGAAATCCTAGCCAGAGTAATTAGGCCAGAGAAAGAGATAAAAGGCATCCAAATTGAAAAGAAAGAAGTTAAATTATCTGTTCTTGTAGAAGATGTAATTTTATATGTAGAAAACTCTAAAAATTCCTCCAAAAAACTATTACAGCTAATAAACAAATTCAGTAATATTGCAGGATACAAAATCAACATGCAAAATGATTAACATTTTAAACAAGAAAGCAAACTATCTGAAAAAGAAATCAGTCTCATTTACAATGGATAAAACATAAAAATGAAATGCTTAGAAATAACTTCAACAAAATAAATGAAAGTGCTATACTAAAAGATAGAAAACATTGATAAAAGAAATTGAAGAAGACAAAAATAAATGGAAAGATATCCCAGGTTCATGGAGTAAAAGAATCAATATAGTTAAAATGTCCATACCATCCAAAGTGATCTACAGATTTAATGCAATCTCTATCGAAACAGAGAAGTTATTCTTCACAGAAATAGAAAAAACATCCCAAAATTCATAAGGAATCCCAAAAGACCTTCAATAGCCATAGAAGTCTTGTACAAAAAGAACAAAGTTGGAGGCATTATACTACCTGTCTGCAAAATACCCTAAAAAGCTCTAATAGTACAAAATACAATAACTGGTAAAGTACAGCTTCTGAAAGTACCAAAACAGCATGGTAATGTCAACAAACAAACCAACAAACAAAAAACAGACACAGGGATCAATGGAACACAATCTAAAGCTCACAAAAAATTCAAGCATTTACAGCCAACTAATTTTTATCAATAGTGCCACAAACACACAATGGGGAAGGATGATCTTTTTCATAAATGGTGTTGAGAAAATGACTACACACATACAAAAAGTAAACTAGAATTTTATCTCACACCATATCAAAAAATCATCTCAAAATGGATTACAGACTTAAATGTGAGAATCAAAACTATAAAACTAATGAAAGAAAACAGAGTGAAAACTCCATGACATTTGGTCTGGAAAATTATTTTCTGGATATGATCTCAAAAAGCACAGGCAACAAAAGAAAAAGTAGACAAATCAAATTTAAAAACTGTATAGCAAAACAATCAACAGAGTTAGAGAAAACCTACAAAATAGAAGAAATTATTTGCAAACTATACATCTGATAAGAGAATATCCAAAATATATAGGAAACTCAACTCAATCACAAGAATTCAAGTAACCCAATTAATAAATGAACAAAAGACCTGAACAGAGATCTATTTCTTAATGGAAGACATGCATGTGACCCAGAGATATATGAAAAATTGCTCAACATCACTATTCTAAACATCACCGAGTTATAACCTCTGGCCTGTTAGAATGGTTATTATTTTTAAAAAAAGATAACAAAAGTTGCAAAGATGTGGAAAAAAGGGAACTCTGCCACTCTATAGATAAGAATGTAAATTAGTATAATCATTATGTAAAACTTTATGGAGATTTCTCAGAAAATTAAAAATAGAGCTACCATTTGATAGAACAATCCCATTGCTTTGAGTATATACCCAAAGAAAATAAAATCAGTGAAAGAACTGTCTGCCCTCTGATGTGTATCACAGTATTACTCATAATAGCCAAGATATGGAATCAAACAGTCCCTTAATAGATGAATTGATAAAGAAATGTGGTGTACATACACAAGGCAACACTATTTAGCCATAATAAAGAATTTCTTGTCATTCGCTACAACATGGATAAAACTGCAAGACATTAGGTTAAATGAAATAATCCAGGCACAAAAAGGCAAATACTGCATGATTTCATTCATATGTGGGGTATCAGTAAGTTGAGCTCAAGAAGTAGTTAATAGAGGGATGGTTACCAGAGTCTGGGGTGTTTGTCTGGGGAGGGAGGGTTGGAAGATGTTTGTCAAAGGATATGTATTTATAGTTAGGTGGGAGGGATAATTTCAAGACATTTATTATACCACATGGTGACTATGGTTAAGGCAACATATTATACTCTTGACAAATACTAAGAGAGTGATTATTAGGTGTTCCCATCACAGAAATGATACCCAAGTAAGATAATCTATTTGTTAATTACCTAGATTTAATTAACATTCCACAATGTATATATACACACATATATATATATGATGTGTGTGTATATATATATATATATATGATGTGTGTACATATATATATGTACACACATAGCATATTGTACACAATA